GAAGCTCCCTCTAACTCAGTAAGGAGATATATTTTGTTATTTGGGTTAACTCTTCACAATTTGAGCTCAAAACTTTCCAATTAGAATATTTACACATATTAATGATGTCTTAACACACTCATTTATAATCACATCACAGATTTAGTAAATGCATTTGCAATTGTTTCTAAGGCAGTCACCTGACTAGGGTATCCAATCCCGGGATCCCGAAATCCCGGGATTGAGTTAAAATCTAGAATCCCGGGATTTTCAAAATAATCCCGAAAATCTCGAAATCCCGAAATTATTATTTTTATTTATTTAGTTATGTTTAAGTGAAATCCCTAGTCCTGACCTGTCTTGACTCGACTGCTAACGTACACGTGTGCCGACCTTGAAGAGTAGAAACTCGCACTGACTGACATATAAGACTACACAAACAACAAACAAGCGTTCAGTTTCAGTTTTCATTTATTTCGTTTCTGTGTCTTGTTGAGGGTGGTTTGTTTTGTGTTTTATTTAATTAACTATTTTACAGTAATTTTAATATTGAGGACAATATAATATAGATATAGATTGGTGCATTTTGAAATAGTAAGTTACTAACATACTGTTTTATAAGATTTTTTATGTAATTAACGAATTATTAAAACTTCTAGGTTAACTTTAATCGCTTTGCTGTATGGTTTGTTTGAATCGTTCAAAATGGCCGATGCAGATGGTAACGAATATATAGTTCACCCCAAAAAGAATGATGATAACGCATCAGTGTGGCCTCATTTTTTTGTATCAAAAGATAAACAAACTGCGAAATGCAAAACCTGCAAAAAAATTATATCAATAAAAGGTGGTTCCACCAAAGGATTACATGTCCATTACAATTCAGTCCACCTGCGGCAGATTAGACCGGGTCAGTCAAAAGTGCTAGGTAAACATAAGGACACAACACCAGATGATGACAATACTGAAATAGAAGCAGAATCATCAGCATCTGTTTCGGCACGAAAACAGATGAAAGTAACTGATTATTTCATCTCACCTGATGATAATTCTTTAGATGCTGTATTTGCAAGAATGACTGCCCTTGATGGATTACCTTTCAGAGTCTTTATCACTTCCGTGGATTTGCGAAAGGCTCTTCAAGCAAGAGGATACGAAAATTTGCCAACCTCTGTAACATCAATTTGCAACAGAGTTTTATCGTACCACAAAAAAATTGTAAATTATTACAAGCAACATCTTGAAGAAATTAGAAAAAATTACAAATTTGTGAGTTTAACCCTCGATGAATGGACATCTACAGCCAATAAAAGGTACATGAATGTAAATGTACATGGACATGATGTAGAAGGAAACGTTAAATTTTGGAATATCGGTTTAATAAAAATTTATGGTTCAATGCCTGCAGATGCTTGTGTGGAATTACTTAAGAATAGATTACAAAAATTTAATCTTTCTTTGGATAGTGATGTCGTTGGTGTAACCACAGATGGTGCCAGCGTTATGACAAAATTTGGAAAACTAATTAAACCACAACATCAACTATGCTTTGCCCATGCCATTCATTTAGCTGTATTGAATGTATTGTACACAAGAAACACGCATAGAGAGGAAGATGAAGAAAACGGCAAAGATGACTTGAATTTGTGTGCGGACACAGAATACCACAGTGCTGAGGACGAATATTACGAAGAAGATGGATCTTTAGAGTTGATTAAGGAGCAAACTGAAGGAGACAATCTGGATTTGACAAATAAACATTATATTAAGATTTTAATTGAGAAAGTTCGAAAAACTTTCAAGTTGTTTAGACGATCTCCTGTTAAAAATAATACTTTGCATAGCTATGTGAAAGAAAAGCACAAGAAGGAACTTTCACTTCTATTAGACTGCAAAACAAGATGGAACAGTCTGGTACTAATGTTGAAACGCTTTATTCGTGTGAAAGATTGCATACAGAAAGCTTTAATAGATGTAAAAAGTAGTACTACTATCATAACAGAGCAAGAGTGTGACCTGTTAGAAAATATTACTAATTGTCTAGAACCAGTTCAATTGACTGTAGAAGCAATATGTAGGAGGGATGCTAATCTTTTTACTGCAGATGCTAGCTTTAAGTTTCTGTTCAAAGAACTTTCTAACATAAATACAGTTCTAAGCAAGGAATTGGAGCTTTCTATAAGAAAGCGTATAGCAGAACGTCGAACAATAACATCTCAAGTTTTGAGTTATTTACAAAACCCTGAAGCTGATAATACTGATGGCGATGATTTTTTTAATTTACCCAATTCAAATCAAATTGCAAATTTTGTGAAAAATATGATGGACGCTTTTCCAATGCAACATTTAAGAACAACAACTGACACTTCAGTTCAAGAAGTCAATGTCGACAGTAATGATGGATCTGAAAAAGATGATATGCCGATTGATCAATTGGCGTTGCAAACGGAAAAGTCTAATACCAATCGCCTGAAGCAAAATCTTGAAATTGCTATAGCAAGTGCCGTAAAACCCCGCCAAAGGAGTGAAAATAATCAAACAAACTCACTAAAGGTGATAAAAAAAGAGATGAGTTTATATGAAAATGGAGGATTGAGAGGATTACATCTACAGCAGTGTTATGAGCAGCTGATGACGATACTACCGATAAGCGTGGAGGCAGAGAGAGCATTTTCTTCGGCAGGGTCTGTAGCCACTAAAATTAGATCACGACTAAGCGACTCGACATTAGACGCCCTAATTCTCCTAAGAGCACACTTTCGAAATAAATAATAAATTAAATTATTTCAGTTTATTATTTATTTCGAAAGTAGATACTTTTGTGTTCTATTTAAGATTGTTTTACGTTTTTGTTTAATATTTTTGTTTAATGTTTGTTTAATGTTGGTTTAATGTTTGTTTATTGTTTTTCTTATTTTTAATAAATGTATTAAACAACGAAAAAAATTTTTTTTATTGTGTAAAAATCACATGTTGGAGTACAGTACGAGAATATAAAAAATTACTCCCGAAATACGATGCAATCTCTAAACCGACTAAAATAAAGATTTTCGGGACTAATCCCGGGATCCCGGGAGTACAAATTTAAATCCCGAAATCCCGAAAATGAATCCCGATCCCGAAAAATGCAATCCCTACACCTGACGGTCCAGTAACAAAAGCTTTCGTTCATAATAGTTCTCTTGAATTTTGAGCCTTTTTTCTGATGTAATAGCTAATGATGTTGAGGCGTTAGTGCTTTTCAATAGACGGTTAGCTGCTAGGGGAAACTGGGGAGGGTTGATACATTTTTTACAAAACTATTAATACAAATTTTGTGATTAAGATTTACCAATCCATTTATATCAGAGTGCAATTTAATAACTTTGCTTAGGAATTTGACAATAATAAATTAACGAAAATTGAAGGTTTAATATTGATTATACATTTTTGAAATTGTCAGTGCAAAGTGTCTCAAACCTCCCTATACATGGGAGGCTTGATACAATAAATGGGAGCTTTGATACAATAATAAATTAGGAATAAAAATAATAAGAACGCAAACTTTTATTATTAGAACACTACCTAATTAATACATAATTCGCAAGTAAACATTTTTATGTTACCATTTACACCTGCACAGGCTGAATGGCACCATTTTTGACATTGCTGACAACTAATCCATTGTTCACGAGGACGAGACGCTGAAAATAGCGAATTGCAGTATATGCAAGCGGCATCGTCATCTCCATCAGAAAATGGATCTTTTTCAATTTCGTCTTCAGGATCAGAGTCATCGATCCCACTTCTTTTTGTTTTTGCACTTCTATCTAAAACGTTTCTTTTCAAGTAGGATTTACTACACCCTGCATTATGTTGTTCGAAATTAATACTTTTTCCACTTTCACCAGTTATTTTTCGTTTAACCTGGTGTTTTTTTTGTCTTTATTCGTTTTTTTTTCTTTCCTTATATTATATTCAGCCTCTATAGCCTCTTTTTCCGGGGTGTCCGTTAAAATTCTGGTCCGCCCAGGCTTTCTGCCACCTTTTTTCTTCCGTGGCAGTGCCTTGGGATAAGGACGAATCTCTTCGGGACTTTTAAGCAAAGCAGATGTGTTGCTTATGATAGCTGTGGTATTTTGTAAAGAAGTATTCATTGTATTGAAAGTTGACTCCTGCTGAGATGAGGATGTGCAAGGTTGAGCTGTTGGGTCATATATATCGGGTGACATCTCCTGAGATGATGATGTGCTAGGTTGAGCTGTTAGGTCATCTATAACCGGTTTTTCGTAAGGGTTTTGCCCTACTTCGTGATACGATCTGTTTGTAACTACCGCGCCTGCGAAATCGACATCTTCAAATAAATGAGGGTTAAAGGGAAAAATTCCAGAAGTGGAAAATCCTTTTGTTATATTTGAAGGTGAGAATGCTCTACCCAGCAAACACAATGATGTAAAATCGATATGAATGTTACATAACTGATAATACTTGTTATGTAACTATGTTATGTAAAATTTACATCCCTGTTATGGCGAAATGTCCGCCACAAATACAACCTGATTTTTACATAAAATTGATGTAACTACTTTATATATTTTTTATATTATTGGGTTAAATAAATATTACGTCACAAATATAAGAAATTGACATAAATATTACATAATATAAACTAGATATTATGTAACATTGACATCATTCTTATGTAGATGACCACTATGTGTGACACCATGGTATCCATCCAGTTTTTATCGTAGATTACTACCATAGGTCAATATTTTTAAGTACCTTCAGAAAATATGACCATTTTCGATTTCCCCTAAAAAATTACCTATATATTGTAATTTGACTATACATAGTGAAATAGTAGGACCATTATTTTATAGAAGTTTCTAGAAGTTATTTTTGACAAGAATTTTTTGTAAAAAAAGTTGATATAGGAAGCTTGACTTCACATATAATTCTAATTAATTATTGGTAATTTTATGCTGCCAGATTACAATGGAGAAAAAAAAATTCAAAAATAAAATACTGAATTATGTATTATTGCACAAGTTTTGGCATTAAAAAAAAACAAAATCACAATTTTTCTTTGCTTCATTTATTGGCTCTGCAAATCTTTTTTCTTCATTTCCCTATTAAGCCTTGGCGGCTCAATCTGAACCATTCCCATGCATGTTTTTCTATGTCTGAGTAAGACATTGAAGAATGAATAATAATAATAATACTATCTGAAAAATATTAATAATGATTTTTGGCAATCAAAGTATTAAATATGTATATATATTACCTGTTAATATTTTTATTGAATTCAAATCTTTGACTTTGAAATTTCCTCTTTGTCCAAACCATGAACACTGTGTAGCCAACTCATTGGTAAATAACTGGCCAAGGCATCTATATAGATGGTCTTTACCATCTCTTCCACCCAAACATTTGAAGAAACAGGCCTAAAATGAAAGTATTGCTAAATGTTTAATGAAATAAAAGCCAAATAAATATGGGTTAGTTTCATAGGGCATGGAACCCACACAATTTCGAAAAATGGTTCCTTGAAAAAAATTATAAATTTCGCTCATAACATTTTTCAATCTCCCTAAATTTCGTCAAAGATCTGTTCACAAGTTCTTAATTTAAAAAAGTAAAAAGATTCAACGTTAAAATAATTAATTTATAGTTTCCAAGTATGTGCTAAATAATCAACATTAAGTATTCTAATACAGGAGGAATTATGACTTTTTAATATAAAATAAAACTTACCAAAGAAGTTTTTATATTTTTTTTATTTAACTCAAGTTCAAACTCCTGAACTTCATTAAGGGTTTTCATTGGAATATTTTTCAATTCACTCTGAGGGTTATTGTTTGGCTGATGCCCAAACTCCAAAGAATTAACCTTGGTATAGATGGTATTTAAAAACTTTTTATTTGATAAGCAAATTGTTCGTAGTTTAACTAAAACAGCAAAATAATAGTTTAATTCTTTAGGAAAAAAATAATTATTACCAATTTCCTCATATAATGTTTCCAAAGTTGTGGCTGTTCCTACAATAAATCAATTATTAAAACAATATACAAATAAATTCAAAATAGGAAAAAAATGATTCTGTGGGGGACTATAAAATATTTAATAGTAGCATAATTTTATTCATACAGTTTGCAAAAAAAAACAAAATTATTGAAAAGACAGGAATAAAGTTTCAAAATGGTAAAATAAATTACAGATCACATGGGAATAAAATATGTTTTATAAAACCTAAAATATCCGAATTTAGTTTTTACCTGCAGCAACATCTTCAGAATTATTTATTCGTCCCTCTAGTTGACTAGTTTGTTTTGGGGATGAAAGAGGTGTTGGTGTCCCACTCATATCAGATGAGCTGCTTGTATTGAAAGTAGCCTCTATTTTTTTCGTTTTATCCCACTCAGTTCGTTGTTTTTCAACAGTGCCACACACAGTTTTTTTCGAACACCACCTACAATATTAACAGCTCTAACCAAACAATTTGTAACTCAAAATGAAATAAAAAATAATTTTAAACCTAGTAATTTACCTTCAGCAATAACCTCAACATTAATGGAATTGGCTTCATTATGGTCAATATTTTTCTGTGGGTTGGTTTTTAATTTTGGTGTTGGGTAGGAGTTATTATCTCCTCATCAGAGCTACTACCAACATTGTCTCGAGTTCAAGCAGCTGGAGTTTTTCTTCTTCTTCCTCTCCCGGCATTTTGACTTTCTTCGTTACTAGTGCTGTACTCAGAATCCACTGCTTTTTTTCTAGCACCATCCAAAGTCGCTAAAAATTAAACAATTTTGTACTAATAAGCAAGCAGAGGATTTTTATTTACATAACTCGTTTGGGGACTTGTTAGCAAGATTTAAGATGAAATCAAATTAGAATTTCTAATTGAGTTCTTTAGTAATAACTGAACAGGTATTAATTTAGCTATATAAAACTATAAAAATTACTCACCACTATAATCTACAATTCTTAATTGATGGACCTCCCAAGTCTTTGTATCTGGCTCCACTCCTTTTTGCATCAATTTATGTGCATTGATCTAGGCCAATAGCATGCTTCATCATTTAGTAACCAACTTGTTGGTATTTCCGAATACATATCCTCTGTTGGGAAATATACCACTGCATATGGTTTTTTTATTCATTTTTCATCAAAAATCCTTATTTTGTCTTATGAATTGTTATTGGTACTTTTATATAAAAATGGTGGCAAATATTATATGAAGTACGAACCTTTTTATATTTCCAAAAAGTTATAAAATAAAAATAATGATTTTCAAAAATGTACCTAGGTACCAATTACTTCAAAACAGAACTCACATTTTTTTATCTTAAGCATGCTTGGTACAAAAAAGGAAAATTGTTCTGTTGCTGAACTTTACTGTGTTATAGATTTTTGAAAATCTTATTGTTATTTGGAACGTGAAATTAATATTTACAAACTTCTTTGTATAAAGTGCTACCATAGGACAAAAATTCCACAATTAATGGAGTAGTGGAACTAAAACGTATTCATTGCCAAAAGGCAATTTCAACATTTTTTTTGAAATCAAAGTGACACTTATCTGTTCATTACATACCAATATATTTTCGTCATCTACTTTATAAATATTAAGAAGTGTAGAATTACAAAGAATGCAAAACAATGGAATAATTGACTGATAATATTTGCCAGAAAAGTACAAGTTATTATCAACTTTGATTATATTATTAATGATTACAATTCTGTCATCAGTCAGTAAACAGCAATTTTCATTTTCTTTTAATAGCACAGAAAATTTTTGTAGTTCAATGCCAAATATTGTCCCTTTTTTGGTAATACTTTTAGGAAATTTGCTTTCAATTGGGTCAGTTTCTAAGGAGGTTCCTTCCATTAATCTATTGTGGAGTTGTTGGAGTGGGAGTCTTGAATGTTTGAGTTTACGTTTAATTTTATACATTAAATTCTCATATTTAAATGCACTGAATTCATCTAAACCACCATGTGCTTTTACATCTCCAGCCAAGTGTATTAAATTATAAACATTGTAGCTCATATATGCGGGTCCAAATATCTCACCAAACTTTTTTACAAAATATAATAAAAGCTCATTAGCATAATCAATATTTTCATTGCTCTGATTTGTTTCACATAACAAACGAATTGCTACAACTAAAGACATAAAGTGATTGTAAATATTACTCGTCAAAATTTTCTGTAAAATAACTGGACCTGCATATAACAAAAAAAATCTAAATTCAGTAGCCTTCCAACGATCAACTTCATGTATACTCCTAGGCTTTCTTGAAAAGTCTGATACACTAAATTTGCTTGTTTCTAGGTACAACTGGTTGAAATGTTCAATCTGAGTTTTAGTTAGACGAACATTTTTAGGGCCTTTCAACCATAAGATTAAAATACGTTTTGAAACTCCTAGTAACACCAAATGCATATAATCTAAAGGAATTTGTTTAATCATGTCAATATCTAAAGATTCCAAAACTGTTGATCCATGATGATGTTCAGGCTGTGTTCTATTTCGAAAAGATTGATTTGTTCGTAAACTTGAAGTAGTGGATAAATAAACTACTCGATGTTCTACATAATCACCTTCGCAAATACATTTAGAACATCCGAAATAACCTGAATGATGTTTAGTATTTGATATAAATGCTCTTGCTGGAGCATCACATATAACACAATTTAATTGAATAGAGTAAGATTTGTTTTGTAGAACAAGCCTAGTTATTTTTAGACTCAAATATTCCTCTACAAAATATTTCAAAAATTCATTTGAATCTTCAGGTTTTTTTAAGCCGCGGAAAACACCTATTACAAAAGGTTCTGTATAAGTATGTCTTTTAACAATATCACCTAAAATGGGCCAAAACTGACTACCAGATGATTTAGAAATTGGTAAACCATCTATATTATTGTTAAATAAAATTATACTATTGGTACAACTATATTTTACAATTGCACGTTTAATACCTTCCTCCAAACCAAAATGTATACATTGACCACCTCCGATATTAACTATATTTGTAAGGCACCGTGGGGTTCTCATAAGGCTTCTCGCATCATTAGGTAATTCGTTATCAACATGTCGTCTTAAAATCCCTAATATATCTTTAATACAGCTTTGTGATATATTATGTGCATGAAAACATTTTCGAAGATCATCTGACAAACTGTTCGTTAAAGTTCGTTTTTCAGGGCTTTGTATTTTGGGGTATTGTATTTCAGGGTTTTGTATTTCAGGTCTTTCTCTTTGAACGGAAAACAATGATGGAGGTGTAACATCGAAAATGCATCCCGCAGTACTAAAATTGTCATCATCGGCCTCACTACAAAAATGAGGTTTCTCGCCTTCCAATGATTCACGGGACTTTAATTCAAATTCAGATTCACTATTTAATTTGAGTACTTTAGCGCTACGATTTGGGGAACTTTCATTATTAGATAAAATTCTTCTCTGCTGTCTCTTAGAAAGGTTGGGGAAGTCTCGTGGCATTTTATTTGTCTTAATAAATTGTTTACTTACGTATTCACAGTATGATGGTGATAATACACTTTTATTTCGCTACAACACAGAAAGATTTTATTTTATCACTTGTGTAATTTATTTTTCAAAAACTCAAGGGCGAACAGAAAAACACAGGTTATGTTACGATACGCACCGCCCGCCAAAATGGCCAAACTATGCTTGTGCACCGCGTCGAATCCATACCCAAGTTTTTATTAATATTATAACATTTTTTAGATACACTCTTTCGTTCAAAATATTTTAATAAAACACATTACGCGTGTGCAAAGTTTGCAAGATGTATAAGATTTGGCAACATTGATACGAACTACGCTGTCGATGGTCTCGTGTTACGTGTTACCAACAGATAACACTCAGCGGACCTTCCGCAGTATTGCCAAACTAATACTGAGGTAACAACTTTAGAAGCCATCAAAGAAACTACTTGAAACGTGAAATACTAAATACATATGAAATAACAAATTGCTACTTCGATGTACACACGGAAGAATCAAAATTAAAATCAGTTTTATGTTATCAATGGAACACAATAAAATACAGGAGATAACTTGAAACATGAAATAAAAAATAGAACGAAGATTTGCTTCTCTATGAAATCACTTGAAACGCATATTTTATGAAGTATCATATTTCTTGTTTCACGTTTCTAGTTTTTTTTTATGTGTGGGGCCTTAAGTAAAACACAAGATACTATATAGTTAACGTATATTTTTTACGTATTAGCTAAGTCATATTTACATAAACTTTTTACGTAAATATGTGGTTTAAGTATCTTTAACATGTTATGGAGTATTTACATAACTATCTTACATAAACACAAATGTAACAAGTGTGTTTGCTGGGTAATATAGGCCAATCCAACCAATTCCGGTATATGTTTTAACGAAATTGTTTGTCCCGGATGACTGACCATCCATGCATCTGCCTGTTCATTATAAAATCTCTTAAATGGACCAAAAACCGATACGTTCAGTGGTTGTAATCGGTGACTTGTGTGCGGTGGTAAGGTCAACAAATGAATGCCGTTTAATTTACACGTTTGCAAGGATGTGGGAGAAATATGGCTATCATGATTGTCAAGGACTAAAATACATTTTTTTTTCTTTGGAACATTTTACATGTTTTATGAAGTGATCTAGGTATTTCACGAAATTATCAGCGGTCATCCAACCGCTTTCATGCGTCATAGCAATGGAACCTGGAGGAGCACCTTGGATCATATAATCTTGCATTCTCACACGAGGAAATATAAATAATGGTGGCACTGAATTTCCCAATGCATTTATAGCACAACAAACTGTTACCGGTGTCCCAAGTTCTGCAGAAGTAGTTTTTGAAATTTGCTTTTGCTCTTTACGAGCAATGATCTTTTGAGGTTTGTGCGCAGTAGTCACTCCAGTTTCGTCTAAGTTATATATGGATTCTGGACCAAAAGGTTCTCTCTCCATTAGATTGCGCAAGTTTTTGTAAAATTCTTGGACATTATGTCGATTGAACGCCGTGGCTCTGCCTAAGCTAGTGGCTTCAGGACTTCTTAATGATAATTGGGGATGACGTGACATAAAACCTTTTAGCCAGTCGTAGGAAGCACACTCGTTTTTCTTCCAGTTTTCTGGTAGCTTTTTATCGTTTTCTTTTCCAAATTGATACGCGAATTGCCTTGTTTGCTTAGGCGTAAGACCATAGTACAGGTTTGCAGAAGTGAGCAAATATTCTATTAAAAGCGATTCCACATGGGGCGAAAAAATTTGTGAAGTCACAAAATTTGGTGAAAAAGTGATACCTCTATCCTCTTGGTATTTTGAAACATATCTTTTCAATGTCATTTTGTCAACATTGTACTTTGTAGCTGTAGGCCTAATCCCTTTATTTTCATTCACTACTTCAAGCACAGCACTCTTTAAATCATCTGGGGAATACTTCGTCCGATCTTTGCATTTTCATTTAAACGGTATCTAGAACAATGTACTCAATCTAAATAATTGCCATGAAAATGTAATAAATGGTTATAAACTATAATATAAATAAATAAAACATACTGTCTCTTCATATAGGGAGGTTTGATACGCGTATCAATCCTCCCGATACAAAATGTATCAAACCTCCCGGGACCACAAATTTCGGAAATATATGACGTGAACGTATTTTGATATTCGATTAAAAATCTATATTACTGGCCACTGTGCTCTAAATGAAATGTACTCAATCTAAATAATTGCTATGAAAATGTAATAAATGGTTATAAACTATAATATAAATAAATAAAACATACTGTCTCTTCATATAGGGAGGTTCGATACGCGTATCAATCCTCCCGATACAAAATTTATCAAACCTCCCGGGACGACAAATTTCGGAAATATATGACGTGAACGTATTTTGATATTCTATTAAAAATCTATATTACTGGCCACTATGCTCTAAATGAAATGCGGTTCAAGCATAACGTAAATATATGAATTTATAGATAACATTTCTTTTGTAAATAAATTGAAAAAATCGAGAACATTTTTAATAGTTATTTGTAATCAAGGATACTTATCATTTTATTCATTTCGACTATTGTAGGATTAACTGCTACGGCATCAGTACCTGGCCCTTCAAAAACACAATCTGATCCTTCAAGGGAAAGAAAAAGTAATAAGGCTGCTTTATTGGATTTCTTAAAAGAAAAAGAAAAAAGAACTGAAGAAGCTCGAGAAAGGCGACACATACAAAAATTGGAAATGCAAAGAGAAGAGTTGAAAGAATTTAAAGACATTTTAAAAAATCTAGCGAATAGAGATTAATATATTTAAGACTTAATGTACACCACCATATTATATCTCTGTAATTGATATCCAATTTGCTATTTTGTTTCAATTATACTTTTTTCTGTTAAGACGGCTCTCTATGTACAGCGGCGTTGAGAAATGCTGTAACCTCAAAATTTTTATCGAAACTGAGGGCGGGCCTTATTTAATGCGAACGAGATTAGGTCAGACAAACTTAACGTACGGCAAGTTCCAATTCACAGGCGATATTTTCAACGCGAACGAACGGGCATGTCGTTCAACACTTTTTCAGGTTCAAACGCAGTTACTTCGATACACAGATAGCACTTCATGGTCGGAGGGAAGGGTTTTTATTTTATTGCATTATATTTTATTTTATTTTTATTTATTTTATCAAAACTTAAACAGGCCTTGCGGAATATTTATATAAATAGTAAATTTTAAAACGTTTTTTTTAAAGTCGTAGGTATTAAAGATATGGTTTAAAAGTAAACTAAAAACTCTAAGTTAAAGTTTATTTACAAAATCCCCAGTATCTATAAGAATTTAGACGACAAATATTCAGATGTTTACACATATGAAACTAATTGAAGCGTGGACGTACCAAAGGCACTAAGTGACAAAATAAAATTATTTTGTGTATGTGCTTAAAAAGGTTGCAAATACCGTCACAGGTGGATACAATATGCGCCTCTACTAATTATTTTTGAAAAAGGGAAGATTTTTCAATCTAATCTTGTGTTCATTTTGCGTCTGAGACCCAATTTAATTGCAGGGTCAGAACAGGTAGCAGGTAATCCGTTAATGACATTTTAAATTCTCGAAATTAAAATTTATAGGTAGATAATCCCATAATGATATTTTAAATTCTATAAAACCAATAACATTAGTAGATTGCACTTCATAGAATGCATATCTTATTTTAACATGATTAAGAAATAAAATATTTTTAAATATCCATAATTATTTCTTCTACCTAAATTAGAATTAAGTTTTGTTAATATTGTACATTTTATATTAATAAATATTGTCAATTATTTATTATCGTTTTTTTTTTTTCATAAATGAACCATAAATAAATAAACATAAATTTACCAACATTATCAGATTTCACAATTGATGCCAGAGGCGCATATTGTACCTCTCTATTTTTACCTATTTTGAACTGAGGCGCAAAATGTACACAGGCTTATTGACCCGATCACTAAGAGGCACAAAATGTAGTCGCCCACCGTCACCAATATCTCCACAAAGGTTCTAAGAGCCATATAATTTCTAAGCTTATGTGAATTAAAATAAGGTGGCGAGTAAAAGCTAAAAGAATTACACAAAATTGGTATCCTATCTTAAATTTGTGAATTTGGTTGTTAGTGCCTTTGGTACTTCCACTCTTCAAATATTCTGGTGTTGGATTACGAATTTCCATCTTCCTCGGGTATCTAGGATCTATTATTTCGGGTAGGATACAGGTGTAATAAAATTTTTCCAGCTTTGGTTTCATTTCATTAGTCCCAAATAAATCGTCCCGATAAATCTAAAAAAAATACAAACTATTTACATTACTATTCATAGGTATTTGCTGATTCGATGACAATTAATTTTATTACGACAAAAACAGAAATAAGCGAGAATTGTCGCCTATATTAGTTTGAAACTCCAATATGTTGCCAGAAAAACATTTTTATCTCATTTTAAGAGCTAATAAGACTCACTTTTTCAACTAATATTCCCATTGGAGTCCAAACTACAAAGTAACATAACAAACGTTGAGTTACGTGTAGCTGACCTTGTACTTGATAAAAATAGTTATGAGTTTCTTTCAACTGCATCTGAAAATTTTCATCAAGCTTACAAAATTTTATGTTTCTCTTTTGGATTGCTTCCAAAGGGTGCATTTGTGATGCAGTTTTTGGGCATTTAACTTCTACAATTGCATCTGTTCCGATCAAACCATCAGGACTCGCTCCAAAAATACAGTCGTGTTCATCAATAAATATTCCGCATTGTTCAACCTAAAACCAATTGATTGAATTATTTTAATGAGCACTAAAGTGAAGCATTACAGGGTTAGGTACCTTAACATTGAACTCATTTTCTAATTGCCGAATAGCGAAAGGCTCATGCTCGGTTCCGTACTTGGTGCTTTCATTCCCTCTGAAGGACGAATAAAGCAAGTTTTTTATTTTATTCGCACGAGATGTCGTTTTTCGCATCTTACAAATTTCCCCATAATTTGAAGCTGTCAAGCGAAGTATTTTCTCTTGTTGTCATAAAGGATTTCCTGCTTGACCTCTTGTGTTTAGCTCAATTATTTTTATTTCCTCAGGCGTTTTTTTTATTGAATTAAGAAATTCTGCCTTTTTCCTCTCGAACTGATCTGAAGGTAAATCCGGATCAGGGAGAGCCGCTGGACCATAGTCGCTGTCCGGTAGAGCAGGTTTCTTGTTTGCTTTTGATGAAAAGCTCTTATTTTTCTGTCTTATATTCTTCCGTAGATGACGCCTTCTTTTCATTCTTTGCTCAAATATCTGAGTATAAATCGGAATGTTTCGCTTTCTAACAGCACTGTAGTATTCTCCTGCGGTGTTAAATGATATTGCAGTGGCTTTACAACGAGTTTC